TCAGCACGGTATAATCTTGACTGTAGTCAGTTTATTTGATTAACTTCATGATGATGTTTGTGATAATTCAATCGTTTCTACTCTATGTTTACTGGTGGACTTTGTGCGCAGGACAGCGTCTTGATAAAGTGGCTCAAGATTATTTGGATGATCAGTGAAACTTCCTGATGAGAGTTGGGGAAGGCGAGAGAGGTGAAGGGGGGGGGGGGGGGAATGGACTCCGTCCTCCCATCAGTAATCCCCTCGGTGGTGACGTCACCCAGGGTGTCTCCAAAGAGACGCAGCGTTGAGCGTTTGAGTAGCTAGGCGGCCAGTGCGCATCCCAGGACGCAACATCAGCGTAACTGTGGCTCAACTTTCAGCTGATCGTCAAACTTCAGACGCTTTGGGAACCTTACAAAAATGGGTAAGTCTAACCAACAAATGCTACTGAAGAACGGATATTTATGCCGCTTTTCGTGATGACAGCACACTTCAGCGTTGTGCGCCGATAGTTTTCACGGCAACCAAACTGATCTGACCCTGTTTCATAACGGTCAGCAATTAGAGCAGCCTGCGGAAGCAACCTGGAGAAAGCGATTAGAGAGATTAAGACTGTCAGGACTCCTGCACTTAACTCTGTTCAAGTCTGCAGAGTTGTTAAGTCCAGATAATCTTGTTGCTTCTACTGTCTCTCTCTTTCAATATGTCCTTAGTACATAACCGTTGGAATAAACTGATCAAAACTTAACTAACCACGCCCTTCATTGTCAATCATCATTGGCCAGCGGTGATTAATTACCTTACTTTGTTTGATAACTATTGTCAAACAGGTGAAAAGTAGTTGTGGTATGTCTCAACCCAACTGCTCGGTGTGTTTTACTGGTAAACAATAACAAAAAGTTACAGGAAAAAACAAAAACAAAACAAACTTAGGCAACAAGCATATAGAATTAGAAGCTGAGTGTGTACCATGCCAGGTCTCTGAAGGGCTGAGCTGAGACAGTCCCATCTGTAAATCAGTCTCAAGTGTTGGCCAACTGTGCGCCCAACCTGGGGGGACGCATAGGAGAAGTGAGGCGACCGTGGTTATAGAGTAACTTCGTGCTGACTTTTAAGCCTTTAAAACTGAACCAGATGGGATAGCACACCGGAAAACCCTCAGCTTTCTCTCACCAACTGTTCTCATCCTTCACTAAGCTTGATATTTAACAGTGAAACGACACAAAATGGATCCAAAAATGATAATTCTGCCATTTTTGAACTTTTTGTGTTGGCTTTGTGCAACATTTAGAGTCTTGTGTTGTCTGCCATAGTGCAGGTGAGGCCAAGGAAGAACACTATGTGAGAATGTGTATGAATTCGCCCTGAAGCTTCCACAGAGGCGTCTTTGTGCTCCTAATTTGTTGCTGCTCCTTTGTGTGACTTCAGTGGCTCTTGATGTAGAGAGAGAAGTTCGCTGATTTGCAAGTTTCAGAGCAGATGCCCTGTGAACCAATTCCCCACAGACCCTCTTTCACCATCTCATAGAGGATATTACTCTGCATGGCAATAGACCTTTGTGCATTGTCCATTTGCTAAGGCTCCCATTTTGTATTCAGAAAATGTCTATGGCCTTTTTAGGAAACAAAAAACTAGTAGAGCATTTTGTGTGCATGAGGACATTAATCTGGTGGCTGTAAAGTTTGCTTTTTGCTTTGTCAGAGAAACGTGCTGTGCTGCAATTTGTCATGTTTCATGTGAAATGGCTTTGAAAACAAATAGATGGACTCTTCAGGCCAAAATAAACAGGATGCCTTGAAGCTGATTGCGCGCGCGTGTGTGTGTGTGTGTGTGTGTGTGTGGAGCTGTGAAGTGAAGATGGCATTCAGACGTTATATAACTTGCATCTAATTTGATTTTGCTGTGACCTTCACCTCTGGGAGCGCTCACATGTTTCTTAGAGCGCGTCTCCTCTGGCCTTGCGGTGAACGATTTAACAGTGTATTGGCCTGTGTTTAGGACGTGGGAGGATAACTTGGCTTCAGTCCGCAGAGCTCGGTACAGAAGGAGAGAGCAAGTCATTTTTCCACAAGTATCCTGTTATGTTAGTGGTGTTACTGCTGTGACAGTTACCCACCCAGCAGTGTTTGGTTGCCATGAATCCCCAAGAGAAAAGGGGGACAGTTCTACTTAAATATTTCTTCAGTGAGCCAAACAACTGAGGAGAAGGTGCTGGTCTGAAGTAAACATTTTTTTTCTTAATGTGATCATATTGATTTTAGCAAGAAAAAGATGACATGCAGCTGCAGGAAAGGTGTAATAATTTATCCTTGCAGCAGATTGTGAACCCTTAGCTGCAGAAACAAACATGTCAGACGTGGTCTGTTATTTGTTTTTTTTTTGTTTTTTTTTTCAAACAAATTTGTTGGCCATGTTTAAGACCACAGATCACACATTCCAAGGCAGGAGATTGAACCAGTTAAATACAGTACATTGTTGACAGTGTGACCATAAGTTTGTTCTTTTTTTGGAGCCAGATTTTGATTCCAAAAAGGGAAAGATTGTTTTTTTTTTTTTCCCTATGGAAAGTCATGAACTTCCACTCGGGAGTGTTTCGTATTGAGCACCGTGGTCTTGTGGAAAAGGTCATCAGGACTGATTGCAAACCAGATCCAAATGTTACATCACTGTTTTCTGAGGAATTTAAAAGAGAGAGAGAGAGTTAATCACAGCTGACAGTTTTGAATGTTTTTAAGTAAACATCTTGCTGTAGTTCAGCGGCCCATGTGTTACTGAGTCATGGTTTGCTAGTGTACATGTACAGGCATAATGCAGGTGCCAAATCTTAATAGGTTAGTGATCTCATGATAAACGGCTCCTGATTTTTTCTTTTCTTTGGTGAGTTAGTGTCCTCATAATGATTTTTACATGTGTGTCTGGGAAGCTGATCTGAGGTATCAGCTCTTAGGAAAAGTGATTATTTAACTTGCGGATCAGCAGTGATCACTGTCACGGACACATGCAGCGGCCTGTATGTGCTGTGACCCTGCATCCTGAGTGTGAGGAGAGGAAACACAAGTGACCGCTATGCTAGCAAAGATGTTTTTGCACTTTTGGAATCAACAACTTGTCAAATGATAGCAGAGCAAAAACAGAGTCACTTCTTTTATTTGTCTCGTGCTACAAATGAGGTTATATTCACATGCTTCTGTCCCCAAGAGATGCAGAGACAAACACGACTGTACGAATGAGTCACTGCAGTGATGGTCAAAGGGTGCTGAGAGCAAAATTGAACTTTGCTGCTTTGTGTTTATTTACTTGAATCAAAGCATTTTCTTGCCTTCCTAGAATTTCCTGAATCGATAGGCTGTTCAGTCCAAATAACATAATAGCTAGCTTTTTTTATGACTGATCCCACATTTTTACGTCACCATCAATAATTTCTAAATTGCTTTTCGGCTATGGTTTCAGCAACCATTAATTACACTGAATATCCACAATAATGAGGTAGTTGCTGTCATAGTTACGAGATATGTGGGCTTCTTTCCATTTGGCATAGGTTATGACTGAGCATCCTTGGTAATTATGCAGTGCTGAGGCTCATACACTACTTTCTGTGCAGCTCTGAAAAAGAGATCTCTTTCAGTTGAAAATTCATTCATCTCGTGATTCCCTTCCTGTTCCACTTTGTTTCCTCTGGAATCTCCCTCCTCTTGCTTCCCTCTGGGTCTTTATTCCTCTCTCATCTTTACTGCTTTCTTCTGGATTTATACTTTTTTCCTCCCCCCTACAGAACCTCAGGTCTGCCAGGGTAATCATGTTAATTTGCGGAGCTTAATAAACTCCTCTGACAACAAAGAGGGAACATTGAATGTTGTGACATGAAGTGACAGGAATAGAAGTTCCTGATGCTTGTTCAAGCATGTGCCTTGGCCATCACTTTTACTAAGTAACGTCTTAAATATGCACAGGCAAGCTGAACCCCGAGGCTGTATGACAAAGATATAATCCGCCCTCTATCTTAACTGCAAGACTTCAGGAAAAATGCAGAAACATGTATAATAAAACCCAACTTCATTTATTTTTCCCCTCATTCAGTAAGTTGGTATCAATGCATGTATATGTTGAATGCAGAGGTGATATTTGCCAGTTGAGCAGCAGTTTGTATCAGTGTTTTGTTCACATTCTGATTGTTCCAGAAAGCTTGTGGGGAAATAATAGGTTTGCGGACACCAAAGAGCCTTTACAGATAATGAATGTTCACTCACTCATTCAACAAGCATTCAACCCCACCGGAGGATTTTTGGCTATCTGCAGTAGACCACACTGTAGCACTTTGATTTACACCATCCATATCACATGATCAGGGGACATGCACCGATTAAAACTTTTGATAAAGTTTCCCCGAATGACCTATTTTCTCTCACTAGCCTTGCCTAAGCAAGTAAATCCAATATAATGCATGTAATGAGGAAGACCGAGTTTGAAAGCTCCACACAAAATTATGCCAATGGCAGAGAGGCCTAGCTACTGTCTCTACTCTGTGATGGCCAGGGGTTGACCACCAGGATTAATGGAGTGTGTGCGTTTTGTTGGGTGGGACCTTCTCTCTCATGTTCATTTTTCAGTGCACACGATTGCTGTCCAGCCTTTATTCCTGTTTGAGTCATTATCACATCTCACTATGATGGGATGCTTGTCAACCTGCCGTCAACTGTGGCTGTTTAAAAGCACTATAAGCGCTTTCGCCTAAAGATGCTGTCAGACGGCATACGACTATAGAATGTTTTGTGCGCCACAGCCTAGATGTTTACCAACACGCTGATGGAAAAACTTTTTGAATTTGAGAACTTGAACAAATTCTCTGCCATCTTGAACTCTTAAAGATGGTGGCATTCATATTAAACCCAATTCCCAGCCTCAAAATGTCTCTTCAGAAACCTATCACACTTGTAACAGATGCTACATGGTAATTTTTCTAACCTCTATAATCAGAGACAAAGGTGTGGTGGAGGTGTTTCAGCTAAAGTGGTTGAGTTCAGAACAATATATTTATTCCTCCTATTTCAGGGGAAAGTGTTTAAGTGTAAGTATTGTTTCAAAGACGTATATTTTGGATGATTTAGGAGCTGGATGTGAGCATAGTTCAGAGGTGAAATGAGATGAAATGATAGGGGGTCCAGCTAATTTCCTTGTAAGATCATCTGCGAGGAATGAGAGCAGAATGCGTTCGTCTGCTTTTCAACTGTGGGAGCCTGTAGGATTGGGCTGTTGGCTGTGTGCCCACTGAGTGTATTCAACGCTCCACAGACAGGTCTTTGTCCCCAGGGCTTTTGCGCAGCTGCTAAACAACCGTAAGACAAAAGCATTTGGGGAACCCCAGCACACCAATGAGAAACGTTCACCATGTGAAGAGCTGTGCCAGACAGCCTGAAACCATTTGGA